TGCCTCTTATAATTTTCAGCCTCCTTTCCGGATTCCCACTGTGGGAGGTGTTCCAGCCAGGCCTTCTGTCCCTGCCGGAGGAGATGGAGAGGGCAGAGTATTCCCCCGCACCAAGGTGGGGCGCACTCACATCGGGAGTAGTTTGCGGGCTCCAGTCCCTGATGATGATGACGAGGAGTCGGAGGCGGAAGCGGAGGCAAAGTCGTCGTCGGAGGAGACCGGAGACGGCTCGGACTCAGACTTAGATGATAGCGCTGATGATGCTCCTGGACCTTTGTCCAGGAAGAGGACTAGGACAGACTCCCAGGCCTGAGATCTTTTGTCATTGATCCAGATTTTTGCTGTTTTTCTTTTTTTTTCTCTTTTGTACCTTTTGCTGGTAGCTAGAGTACCTTGTACTGTCGCAGGCAGATTTTTATTTCCAAAACCATGTACTTGAAAACGATGATGAAATGAAACAAACCTTTTGTCTGAAAAAGTGTTGTATTTGTATATTTCATGTATTGCATCGCATTGCATCATGTTGCGCCTTAATGTAAATGAAATTGATCTATTGTCTAAAAATTGAACACTTGCATTGTAATAATCAGATAACGAACCAGCCAACAGTAAAACAACCCATACCAACCACTGCACATCCTGAACACTCGGCTCATACTCTACTGGGGGGATTAATCTGCATACAGCCCATAACACAGTGCTTGATTAATTTTGCACACAGCGGATCCTGAACAAACGACCCAAATCTGACAAGACGGACCATGAAGGTTGAATCTACTGAAGTTAAAGCACACTCAGATGCGATCTGAAACCCAGAAGCTACAAAGAGGCCCAGGTTTTCCTGTTCACACTTTATCGGGGGTGGACCCTGCAGTTGTATTGAAGAACCAAATCATGTTTTTGCACAAATGTGGAGGATGGTACAGCATTCTGAGCACAAAACGATTAATTTTTGAAATTGAAGAAGGTTTTTTTTTCAAACCGGGGTGTTGAGCCCATAACTAACTCAGCGAGAAAGACTCAACAGTGAAAACCAAAAGGTAAACTACCCGAACACAACGAGACACACTTGGAAAAGACTCAAAACAAAGGTTGAAATAAACAAAACAAAAGACACGACATAGCGACGTGCGTAAAGAAAAAAAAGGAGACCTTAAATCACAAGGAGCCAGTTCCTCCGGGCATTATCTCCCACCCTTTCTCATTTTTGATTTTCACATCACTCGGCCCTCAGGCTCGGTTTTTTTTCCTCACAACCCTTTGGCTCGCTTTTTCTCTCAACTTACACCTCTCTATTCTTTATTCTCTCATTTTTATCCCTCCCCAGGATTTTTTAATGGATGAATAGGAAGTTGTGGGTTCACGCCCGACATGGTTAGCTCACGGCTGTTTCTTCCGGTGGCGCTTGGTCGATGCCCCGGGTAAGGAAACAGAGTACCTTGATCCCTTCGGATTCGTGCTTCGCACTTGGTTCGATACCTCGTTGCTCGGAGGTTGAGAAAGCTTTCAGCCCTTTAATGACAGCTTGAGTTGTGCCCTTCTTGGCAAGTATGTTAGCGATGGGGGAAAAACAGGAAGCCTGACTCAACCGTGCTCCTAGTTCATTATTATGACCATTTTTGTTTTGGTTTTCTACTAAAACAATTTTGACCAATATGAGAGTTAGATTGACATACTTGTTCAATTTTTAATTTGAAAATCATGCAAGTCAGGCTATGAGCACTGAAAATTTTCCTTTTTTGGGTCCAAAACGGTCTAAGTTTTGGAGAAATGAAATAGTTTTCGAAAAAATAATCAACCTCAGTAAAAATTTTCGAAAACTATTTTTGCAAACGACCGCCGTTCAACGAGCGCGGAGCTTACTTTCGAGATGCGCAACCTCGGATCGGAGGGAATGGAAAATTGCCCCTTGTTTAAAGGACGCTGCACGGCAATGGAAAGTTGCCCCTGGTTTGAATGGCAACTCATGGCAACGGAAAGTTGCCCCTTGTCTGGATGATGCCGCAGCATATTGCAAACAGTCCTCACTAGTGATGATCCCGACCGAACTTTCTTGGATACAGAGAAGATGAAGATGGTCAAAACCAATATATGGACACAATCACTTTGAAGGTGTCGGGGGCTGGACTTCGGGATGAAGTTGCCTATGTATCCGGTTGTCGCAACCGAACTATCGGATTCGGGGAGGGCAAGAATAATCAAAACCATTACATGGACTGAGGCGCTATGAAAGCGTTGGGGGCTGGACTTCAGAATGAAGTTGCCTACGTATCCCAAACATGGGAATCAAGCCTTACGTAGTTCCGGTTAAGGTACACTCGGGTATTTTAACCTTCACTTTTTAGGCTCTAACTTTTATCAAGGCGCCCGTTGCGGGTTTTCGACCTCGTGAGCTTCTTTTTTCTTCTTTTCAATTTTTGACTTTTTTGTATATATATTTTTTGTATTTTTCTTTTTGTTCTTTTTCTTTTTTTGTATTTTTCTCTTGCTCTAACTTTTGCCTGGGTCGTCCTTCCGGGTTTTTGACCCAGCGAGCCTCTCAAAGGGTAAAAGTGTAACAAGTCCATGCCAAATGGTTTTGAGATCCCGAAATCATCTGAATCCAGAAGAATGGCTGTTGCGTTGATTTGCAGAAAGATCCATCACGGTTGCTTCACACGCTTCTTCTGGTGAGATCTGATCTTCTTGATCTGATTTTGGTGCCTCTTGTTCGAGGGTTGCTTCTAATCTGGCCACACAGACCTCACATGGCAGTTGACCGTTGAAATTTCTGAACGGGTTCAAGGTTCGAAATCGAACGGGTTGAATCTTGAGGCTGAGAGCGATCCTAGGCTGCACAATCTCAAGAGCGATTCCACACAGGTCTTCATAGGGCCGCGCAAAACATTTGTTTTTGAAAGTTTTTAAGAAAACGACAAATAGCTCGCGCCGAAGATAGTGTGTAACCAATCTGGATCAAGCCAGGGTCCTTCTTAGTACTCACGCAAACAAGCATGGTTTCATTCATTAAAGGCTTAGCATGCCTCTCATTTTCTCAAATTGACCAAAGTTTTGCAAAACTCGAGGAATTCCTTCCTCTTTGTTTTCACTACAGTGTTAAAGAGGTTTTGAAAAACGTAGGTCAATGCAATGATTTTCAGGGCACAAGAGAACAGGTGGAATGCATGGCCGTTCGATTCAAATCCTTTGACACAACTAGCTTAAAATTAGCAATAAGCATGGAAACATGATAGCCGCAACTGCTCCATTCAAATTCCCTGATTGTAACTGGCTCCACAACAGAGACAGACTCAAAACAAAAGGGTATTTACAAAACCAAAACGGTGTTCGAGGCAACAACCCTAGAATCACCTGACATCCTATACAACGGGACTGACTCGGTACCACAAGACAGACCCAAAAACAAAAAGACTGACTCAAAGCAAAGAGGCAGACTCAAAAACAAAACAGAGAACTGACTCAAAACCCAAGCCAAAAGCTACAAAACTGCATTTACAAATGCTCAAAAAGTGCGTGCCAGACGCCACATCTGAAATACACCGAGCGCCGCCCGCAGGTGGTCTACAAATTCAAATGCTCCCAACAGTGCATGCCAAACGCCACATCTGAAATACACCGAGCGCCGCCCGCAGGTGGTCCAACCCCTGATCATATACTCGCAGTATCCTCAAAGTCCAATAGCTCGGTGGTAACAGACTTTGCTGAGGTAGGTGGAAGAATGACCTCATTATTGATCAGATCCTGCACTTCATGGCGAAGGCGGAAACAGTTGTCGGTGGCGTGACCGGTCTGTTGGTGGTACGCGCAGTACAAAGCAGCATCATGTGTGAGAGGGAGATTCTTCGGGAGAGGCCGAGGTTCAAGGGGTTTGAGGTGCCCCCTTTCGGCAAGAATCTGAAGTGCCTTAGACAGAGGCATGTAGAGAGCATGAAAGATCCTGCGCCCTCGGGGCAGGTACTTTGAAGTCTGAGTATTCTTACTAGACACACTAGCAAAAGGGTCGGCAAGCACTGCCTTTGTTTTCTGATCTTTCCCAGGTGCAGGGTTGGGAATAGGAGGAACTGTTCTGGCATGACGGGGCCTATCCCGATTTTCTGACTGACTTGAACTACCCTCAGGTGGAGTGGGGAAAGCATCCTCCATAGTTTTTGCCACAACTGCGGATATCTGTTGCTTGTTCATTCCCCTGGCTTTCAAAGCCTCGACTGCCTGCAGCAGTTGTTCAATGGGATCGACATCTGCCTTCATTTTGTTCTTGCCTTTGGCCTTAGCCTGATCGGGGGTTTGGATTACTACATCAGAGCGAAGCCCAGTTGTTGCTGACACGTCGTTGCTGTAGCTGGAGGCAACCTCTGGTTGGCTGAGCTCTATCACAATCCGCCCCAGTAGCGGGGGCTCTTGTGGTATGAAATTCCTGGCATACGGTGCCGCTGGCGGTGAAGCCGACATTCTATAGGCCAGATCGGCCACGGATCTCTGGAGGTTGCCTATCATTCCCATCAATTCAAAAGTGGTGGGCTCACAAGCCTGATACAACTAAGGGTCCAGACCGGGTGCACGACAGGCGACCTGGGTGGATGCGGTATATCGACATTGGTCTCGCTTTGCAGAGCGATTGCTTGGTCTGATGCGGCCGTCATAACCACACTCTCCTCTGAATTCTGCGTCATGATAAGTTCGCTGTACTGAACGGTGACTGACGAATCAGATATCTGTCTTATCTCAGCAAGGAGGAACACTAGCTATTCTGTATCAACTCTTTGAACTGAAAGAGAAAACATGCAGCATTTTGGACCAATCAGGACGGATGCTAGTATAGCTGAATAACTGTACTCTACTACTGATCACTTTTGCCCGAAATCACTGCCCCCAAAATACTGAATCGGATACCCACAGATATAACTGATTCTCATAAACTGACACTGATGCCCTCAGGTCTGATACTCAAACTTGCGAACTGATATGTGTGTTCCCCTGAGAGAAATGGCCTCCATATATAGCAAAAATAGAGCCCTGGTCGAAATATCTACAAATCAGATAGCTGGAGGTTGTGTAGAAAAGCTGGAGGGAAAAGATCTGCAAAATATTTGAGTTTTGGACATAAGTGGCCGACCGGCCACTTGTAGTAGCTGACCAGCCACCCCAACTGGCCGACCGGCCACTTTTCTGGCTGACAAGCACAAATCTACTTTTTGGGCCCGATTTCAAATGAGAATATCTCCGTCACGATTTGCCGAATTTGGACTCCTTGGTTCAGATTTAGAACCGTGACAATTTGTGAGTCCGAACTATAGTGAACCCCAATACGAACAGAACGGGACTCACCCTCCCGGGGCGTTCAGGGACGTCTACAGCGACCGATAACAACCAATAACAAATTAATGGCAAAATAATCGCATTATTCAGTCTAAAATCACAATCAATCAAAATATTCAGTCTAAAAACAAAATAATCACATTGAAGCTGGAGGGATATCAGATAACTTACTAGTGAGAGTCCACGGTTCCACCGTCTACACCGACCAGCTCTGACGAAGTCCGACAACAAAGCTTCTCCGTTTCTTTCCTCGTCTTTTCGCTCCTCTCCTCTCTTTCGAATCGCAACAAGTCTCTCAGATTAGTTGTTTTCTTTTCTTTTTTTAATCTTAGTGCTTTGTTTGAACAAGCTTCTCCAACAAGCCTTATAGTTTATATATTTGTAAAAGTTTCATATTTTACACTTTCACCCATTAAAGTTTCTAAAATTTTGCTTTCATCTTGACCTAATTTACAAAATACATATACATGAAATTTAAAATAGATTATTATATATGTTAACTAATTCAAAAAAAAAAATTCCAAATAGTTTTAAAAATTGGGGAGGCTACTCTATATAATTTTGAAATTATTTAAAAAAAAATTTAGGGGTGCAAACTCCTATAATTTTAAATTATTTTAAAATTTCTAGTATAATATATAATATTTTTCAAATTTTTGGGGCTGCGGCCGCCCCCCTTCGCCCCCCTCTAGATCCATCCTTGTATGTTAATAACATTTAACAAAGGGATAGTATTTTGCCAATAATATTAAACTTGAATAAAATTACTCTCCGGACTTGGGCTTGAACATGAACTTGATTCCGAAACAACTACGCATAAAACATAACACAACAAAAACATGTAAAGTGAAGATAGTGAATTTTCAAAAAACAAAATAAATGAAATGGATTAAAAAAAATATCATTGTATATATTACCTGAATCATATTATTGTTCAAATTCTTCAACATCCTCCATTGCTTGTCGAAGGCATATTGGAATATTACTTCGAAGCCAATTTTGTGTACAAACAAGAACCTCCACCATCTTGGGAGCAAGTGAACAACGAAATGGATCAAGGATATGACCTCATATACTAAAAGCTGACTCAGAGGCAATAGTGGAAATAGACATTGCCAACACATCTCGTGCTATAAGTGATAATACTCTATATTTTGTTGCATTAACCTTCCGCCAGTCCAAGATGTCAAATTGAGCATTCTTCCCACCTTTCTTAATATCACCCAAGTACTTGTCCAATTCCGACATATTCCCATCACTAGAAAATTGCCCCTCAAAAAATGAGTTAAATTGAGAGTTCCAAATAGAGTGTGGGTCATTTTCATCTGTCACCATATCTACTGTTTTATTTACATTGGAGGCATGCACATTTGTTGAATCAAGTGTGGCATAATAATCATACAATTGACTCAAAACAATTTTTCACATTGTCTAACATTTCTTTCACTCTCACCATATCTCTACCAAAAATTATTGAAAAATAAAATTGCAAGTATGTCATTTTTCTTCGAGGATCAAGCACAACCGCAACATACAAAAGGAGATTGATTTTATCCCCATTTCTCCAATACTTGTCAAACTTCTCTTTTATTTTCTTTGCCATTGAACACAAAATATGATCATTGTCTTTGATTAATTGTCCAATCATATTTTCAGTGACAAAAATTTCAGTATAGAATGTATTTGAAATAACAAATAAAGACCCAGAAAATCTCTTTGTTGTATTGTAGAACATTCTAAGAAATTTTAAAAACACCCTACGATTATCCCAATCCTCAACTGTAGGCATCTTTCTCCTCTCACCCCCTTCATTATCCAAAAAGTAGTGTTTATAATTGTAGTTCTCCTCACCCATTCTTTGAAAACCACTCTCAAATTTTTCTACCGCCTCCAACATAAGATATGTGGAATTCCAACATGTTGGCACATCCAGACACAAGAGACTCTTACTCTCAATTTTCAAACTTTCCACATAGTTTTTAAAAGAGTCAAGGCGGTTTGGAGAAGACCTCACATACCTCACTGCATGCCGCACATTCACTATACAAGACTCAAGATCCTTCAATCCATCACTAACAATGAGATTTAGAATATGCACACAACAACGCGTATGTAAAAATTCATGGCCCAAGACTGTTCCCTTCCACAGTTTTGTGGCATGTTTCAAGAATCTAATGGTTAGATTATTGGAACTCGCATTATCAACAGTTAAGGTACAATCAAAGGCCATCAATGTCCCACTCTTTTAAGAGTGCCTCAATTTTTTTACCAAGAGTTTCTCATTTGTGCTCTTCAACTTGATAAAAATTTATAATCCTCTTTTGTAACTTCCAATCAACATCAATGAAATGTGCAGTTAGACACATATAACACAAATTTTGTATAGAAGTCCATGTGTCTGTGGTAAAACAAATTCTACGCCCCTTCACAATTTTCTTCAACTTCTCCCTTTCATTGGTGTATATGTCTACAATGTCCCTAACAACGATATATCGAGATGGGATCTTGAACTTGGATTGCACGACATATAAAACCTCTTAAAACCAATCCCCTCCACAAATCTAAAGGGCAATTCATCAATTACTATCATCTCGGCAAGATACCTCCTAGCAACTTCTATAGAAAATGACGTAGCCACAACATCAACAACACCTTCCCCACCAACTTCTCTAGGTTGAAATCTCAACGTTTGTTGCCCATGAGTATTTTTATATGGATACTTTGTACAATTTTTTAAATGACTTAACAAATTACTTGTTCCATGACTCTTAGATCCTGCCATATATTCTTTCTTATAATATTTGCACATAGCCCTATCTTTCCCATCAATACCCTTAATCTTTTCAAAATGTTCCCAAGCCTTTGATGTTGTTCTCCTCCTCCTACTACTAGTTTTGGCCAGGGGTGGTCTAGGAAGGGAAGCATTAGGTTGGGTAGAGGGGTCAACAAAAGATGATTCGGGCACAACATTAGGACTCGCAAAAAATATTTCTTCGTTTGAAGGATCCATGACCAAAAGATTATCAAATATACTTCCAAAAACAAATAAAAAATCATTCAAAATATGCTTTTTAAATCCATGGTCTGTTTTTCCCTTTGATTTCAAACAAGATAACATACCCTTCCCTGTGCATAAGCATTGATTCCAAATATTACATGAACAACTAAATCAATTCCCAGAATTCATAAATCTGTTTAGCAGCAAGTCAACTCCCAGAATTCATAAATCTGTTTAGCTTCCTCACATAACATTCCAAAGCATTCAATACAAGTCCCAAAAATACAAAACTCAACTAGAATCAACCAAACAAATCACAACATATCAAAGTTATAAACTTTTCATATTAATCAAGAAAGCACTTTGTAACAAATGGGGTGTTCTAAATAATTATTAGAATTTCTTTATAAGCAAACAAATTCAAGACGGTAAGGAAAAACCTTATAGCAAGTGATTTAAATAAAACTGTGACCAAACCAACCAATAATTGGAAAGTGGAGCTAATATAAAATAAACACAATCAGTTTCACTTTTACACAAAAGAACTCCCAGAATTCATAAATCTATTTAGCTTCCTCACATAACATTCCAAAGCATTCAATATAAGTCCCAAAAATACAAAACCCAACTAGAATCAATCAACCAAACAAATTACAACATATCAGAGACACTTTGTAACAAATGGGGTGTTCTAAATAATTATTAGAATTCTTTATAAGCAAACAAATTCAAGACAGTAAGGAAAAAAAAAATTTGTTAAGCCATTTGAAAAGTTTGAAACACAATCACTTTTACAAATTCAACAAATTCAAGACACTTTGTAACACAATCACTTTTACACAAATCTTTATAATAAAAAAAAATCAAATGTTTCTCAGTGGCATTACCTCAAACAGAAAGAGAGCAAAATGCTTGGTATAAGCAGTAGATTGACATGGATATTCGTATGAAGCTGATAGACACACACACAGAGAGAGAGAGAGAGAGAGAGAGGAAAACCCAAACCCAGTTCAAGATTACATCAATGACACCATTAGAACTGCAACAAAACAAAAAATAGGTTAGAACTAGAACAACAGATTCAAGAGAGGTTTATTGAATATCAACAAAACAAAAGTAGGAAAAAAAAATGAAAAAACAGATTCAGTCGCCGATCCTCTGGTTTTAGAAATGGAACAAAAAAAAAATGAACAGATTAGAGATTGAGGAGAAGAAGAGAAGAAGAAGAAGAGGAAAGAGATCTCACTACCACCACAACGATCGCCGATCCTCTTTCAGCCGAAGAATGGGTTACGATTAAGGTTTTAGTTGAAGAAAAGGGCGTAAAAAAATAAAAAATAAAAAAAATAAAAATTGAGAAGAATAGAAAAGAAGATTGCCGATCGACTTTAGGCATAGATCATCGGTCGTTGTTGGTCGTCGCCGTCGATAGATGTTCAGGGTTTCAGGGGGAGAGAGAGAGAAAAGAGAGAGAGAGAAAGAGAAGAAAGAGAGAGAAAAGAGTGTGTCTGTCTTGTATATGTCTGTTAATCGAAGAAGAAGAATGGCTTAGGTAAAAAGGGGATAAATAATAAATACATATATAAAAGTTTTAAAAAAAAATGGAGGCAAAAACCAGCGGGTCGGGTTTCACCGGTGTAGTGGCGGATCAACCGCCACCCGACCCAAACCCGCGAAAACTCAGAAATCGGGCCCGCATCCGCCAGCCATATGGCACGCATCTATCCAAATGTATATGGATACTTTGTACAATTCTTTAAATGACTTAACAAATTACTTGTTCCA